CTCTCTCTTTCTCTCTCTTCTTTCTCTCTTGAGCACACTTTTGCTTCCATATGTCGTCTATCATATGATTCTATCATATCATTATCTTTCGCATTCACGCATTCTTGTCTTTTTTTGGCACAAAGTCATCCGGCACTAAGTAGCTTAGCGGTGACCAATAGTGGATGCCTTCTTCACCGTGGCCACAGTATCGGTATGAAGAAAAACATCGATAGGATGTGCGACAAGCTGCTACTTCCGTAGAAACCGCCGACGCCACTGCTGGCACCGGAACTTTGAGCAGCCTCAGCCAAACCTAAAAAAAATCACACCTTTTCACTGAGAAAAAAAACATTCAAAATCGATAGCGGAATAGCGATTGCGCTACTAGGAATCAATTTGGTTCTAAGAAGGAACAGTTAGAAAGTTACTTTTTTTAATTTACCTTATATGTTTATTATTGAAATTGAGTACAAAATGTAATACAAAATTGAAGCAAATGATAAAATATAATATAAAAAATAAAATATCCGAACTAATTATACTCAATTTCTGTAATAAAAAGTAACTTATAAGGTAACTTTCCCTGGGAACAACAATAATTTAATAGGATTGATAGATACTTGTGAGTAGTAGATCTACTGTACATACTTACCACCGATAATAGATACGTGATCCTTCGCTCGAGATCCTCTTTCAAAGCCAATTTTAATCTCTGTGAAAATGGACATTATTTGAATTTGAAAATCTCGAAGTACATAAAAAGCGTATAACATAATTGGCAGGCGTATAACTCACCATACAATCTCAAAGTTCCGTCTGCTTTTCCTAGGCTATTCGTTGAAACGCATTTGTAACTACCGACATCTCTATCCGTAAATTTTTTGATTAAGAGCCACATCAGAACCGTGTATCCCGTACGTTCCTCCCGCACGTTGTATTTCGGTCTATAAATCATATAAATGTTACGTTAGTTTCAGAATGTTCATTTCAAGAATGAAAAAGAAAATGCTAGATAAGAAATAGAAGAAAAATAGAAGAAAAGGAACGTAATAGAAATATTATATTGTGATGGTTGTGATAATTTAAATGTAACATTAAACCAATCGCTAAATGGTATTATTTATTTTATTTCGAAAATAAAATTTGATTAATAAATCCATTTATATTGTTGCAACAATGTTGAAACGTCTATCTTCTATATCAGTTTATACCAGTTTCAGCGAATCGCGAGAGTTGGATGTAGTGACTTTTTAGTACAACGATCGTTTAATAACACAATTCTCAGTTAACAAATTTTCAATTAGATTTATTAGTCAAATTTAATTTCCAAATTCAGAAAACAAATGGATGCCATTTAGCGATTACATATTATAATTAAATTATCACAATTATCTCCTATGTAATATTTTTAGAAAGAAACATTGCTAAACACATTTGTTAGTAAGCTTTAATCAGCCTTGCTGAAATTTTATATATAGGTAATTCGACACCTTAATTGGAAATCATTTCGAGATTTGCAAAATTAGTACATGGATCATCAAAGTTTTGGGCATATCCTAGATATCGTGTGACATGTCCAGAGGCATCGCCGTCATCACATATTTGTTTAATATATTTTATATCTGAATTTCTCTAACATGACGGCACAGATTGTGTTCAAGTACTTAACCGAACTGTATCAAATACATTTTAGATATTAATTTAATATATTTGATACATCTGTTATAATACTACCATCATTGCAAGGAGATATAGTGTGTGTGTGTGTGTGTGAGACAAAAAAGTTCAATGAATGTTACAAGAAAACAAATTTCATTTAATTAATATACAAATGACCTTTATTGTCCCACAAGGCAATCCCCTCTAGAGACACTTCAACGTTCGTTTTGCTTGTGAAAACTTTGTAAAAGTAGAGAGAAACTTGAGAGTGGACATCCCGGCCTTTTCCGTGTACCAATCCTTGTAATGTCCACGAGTTAGACAAGGACGAACGATCAAATCAATTTTGATTACTTATCCTTGTTTAATCCACTAGCGTGGAAAAAAATCATAAAAAAGTGGACATTACTTTATAAGGTTTGGTAGACAAAACACCTCGGGATAATCACCCTCATGTTTTTTTTTTTTTTTTTTATAAAAATCATCTTTGGATATTGTTTTAAAACGAAACGCAAGAGATTCGAGTTCGACTCCCGACCGAGGTAATATTTTTTGCGATAAATTTATTTAAAGTTTTTTAGCACATTAATATGTTTCTAATAAGATGCTTAATTGAGCATCAAATCATTAAATTACTTGTCAATTTAATTTGTGATATTATCTACTACTTTAATCAGATTGTGTTTCAAGAAAATATATAATTTCGGCTCGCGGTTTAAAAGACTACATTATACATGTAGTATATAAATTCACACAGAAATATTTCAGCACTTAAGATCTAGCGTGACCGTTTAGGAGTCTTATTTCCGAATTAAAATGTAAAGGTTGTGCCTATGAAATTTTTTAATCTTTTTTGGATGCCCTACAATTCTAGCTACATCTTACTATTCATCTGGAATCTAATTTTACATAAGAAATTAGGCATAGTTCTTTTATAGTTATCTCATACGACACAGAACATTCCAGCGATATTGCAATAATTTTGCAATATCCAGCAATACAGTAGAATATTCTATTCTATATGAGTATTTTATATTATATCTCGAGCTATATTATCGAGAGTACGATTATTCGTTTAAGAAAGTAACGAATATAACAAGAACTCACCCTTCCAATAACATTTCGTCTTCCGTGCCTCGTTGATTCTTTACCCAATAATTGATCGTGTTCGGAAACGCTTCGACGTAGCACTCGAGCTGCACGTCTGTACCCAGAGGAGCGCCCAATAACTGGTTGGGTGCTTTTACGACGGGTGCGACTATGGAAATAAAATGAGTTTAGAAAACGAGAGTAGAAGCTTTTCACAAATGTACGTACGAGGGAAGTCTCAAAGATAGAGCTCGTTTTAAGAAGGAAATGAAAATTTGATTCTCTCTTCTCTTAATGTGCACGTCGAAATCAAACTTTTTCTTACAAAAATTTTCTTTCTACTATTCCATCGCGTAATTGAAGCTTGGACATGAATCTTCGCGGTGCAAAGTAATTTTTGAAACTATAATATTATATCCAGGACAAGTATTCAAACCTATTTTAAAAATTGTGTGGAGAATCAAATAAGGAGCTCTATTTTTTTTAAATTATAATACTGTATGTTCGTGAAACAAATCAAATTTTCATTTTCTCCTTTCTATAAGGAAGTTTGTCTCATTTTCGAAGCTTCCTTGACTGTTTCCTTTTCGAATCGTGATTATGCGCGACTTGGCTATATGAAAAATACATATTAGCGAATTACTTTCCATAAGCGTAATCTATGAATCGAATCGGATCGGAACGGATTGGAACGGATCGTGCGAGCGAACGGAGCTTACAATTCACAGCGAGCGTCACCCGTTTGCTAACCGCTGGCGGCACGTCGTTGCTGGCGATGCAGAGATACGCCCCCATTTGCCGCCTCTCAACACGATAGAAATGCAGCAGTGAACCGTTGTAGTGGTCGTGCTTCTCGAAAGTGCTACCACCTGTGTACATGAGAGGAACATTTTACCATGCCATGAAAAAAACGATCGATCGCAATCCCGTTCCCTTTCTTCCGTTTGCTTCAAACAACGAGTTCGAAACAACAAAGCGCAGAACAACAGAACTCTATTATGTCGGATTACGATTACTCCATGTCCGATTAAGGAGCAACGCGAAGCGAACGGAAAGTTTGCTCAACACGCGAAACGTGTCAGTATCAGATACAGGTTTGACTGGCGGACTGAGAGAACGAAAACGAAAAGACATACGCTTAAATTATAGAGACCACCGATGGTAAATATAAGCTCCCCCCGTAAAAAAAGCATCTCTGTCGACGTAGAAAAAGTAAACGTAATAAAATAAATCCTCGGAAAATAGTGCGACTACACGATCGCGCTACGAATTCAAGGATACCAGATCGTACAAACAAGATATGCAAGACAGTTACGTCGACCAGTTTTGGTAACTCGGGAGACTCGATTCGTGAATGCGAGCGTGTGCGGCAATTTACACGACATTACTTCCCTCTCTCTCTCTCTCTCTCTCGATTTCTATATACATACACGCATACAAACCGAGATACTATTCAAGGAACTCTCGGTTGTGGCTTTGCTCTCACGTTCCACCCGCCTTCGAGGTCAGTTCCCAAAGAGGAACTTGTTTCAACGAGCTTACTCGTTACATCCTTGCTCGTATACTACATTCTTATACTCAATCTCTACGTATCCGCGAAGAATACTGGTTCAAAAAGTTTCTAGCTCTCTTGATTCACCACAAACTTGCTCTTATTCTAGTCACTTTCTCTCTGTCCCCAACTTAATCCTCGGGATCACGATCGCCGTCTTCACGGAGAAATATCGACAAGTATCTTGGATTTTTCTTAACAAGATCGTATCTAATTCTTCATTAATAATGACTACTAAACGTTTGAGTTACGTATCGGATGAAAAAAGAAAATTCATATTTTACTGCAATAATTTTATACGTTCGCACACGGGTCAATTTCTATGAATAAAAAAAGGAAATCTTCATGTAAAAAAGAATAGTTTTACGATTTTAACCTCTGGCATGAGAAAATCGATAATGAAACGGCAATAACGGTAAATGCAATCGGGGAAGGATTCGTTCCCATCCCCGTAGACTTCGATAATAGTTCGCACTTTAACGCGACCAAGCAACTACGAGGTAACTAAGATATTAGTAGCACTTAATTATCCTATCAATATTGAGTTATGCTGGCGCCGTACAGCATCTATTATTCGAGAATTTCGCATTCATCTCTACTATTTGAAGCATGCATATTCTTGCCCTTGATTGGTAGTAGAATGAGAAAAAAAAGATAGAAGTTTTAATTTTTCTTTATTTGTCTGTATCGTTATTTTTAGCATTAACTTCATGAAAATATCTTTATTTGATCATACTAATCAGAATTCTAATTATCACATGACTGTATTTCTGACTATCTTGATCAGAATATTTAATGTTTAATAGATTTAACTCTAAGTATCTAATTTATAACTTTCTAGAGTTGAATATATTAGATTTTCAATTTATACAAACGCATTTTTTCGCGTCTTTTTTAAGAAAAAACAGTTAATTATTTGTGTATAGGTGTGTGTGTGTTAGTATTTCTTTAATGCAGCTACAAGATATTCGCGACGATAATTTTGAGGCATCTTGTATTTTACTTGATAACAGTTGACCTGCTACAGAATAGAAGAAGAATAAAGATTTTTAACAATGTCTTACCTGCCGTGGAAGCCCTTATGATGATGGGTTCTCCATCCTCCCTCCGCCAGGATACTCTCGGAGGTGGATGTCCTGTCGCGCGACAGCTCAGGGTCGCATTGTCACCCTCTGCCACTGCCAGATCAGCGCTAGTGTCACCACCATAAACAATATCGGGCGGTACTATGGGGGACAAATAGTTCATATCAATATTAAATTGGTAACGGCCACCTATATTTCCTCTCTAACCCGCGCGAATACTTTATAAAAGTTATCATGGATAACCGGCACTTCACTGAACCGTCTTTAAAATAACAAGCATTCTCGAGGTACATTTATACGGTAAGGTCAAGATAGGAAGCCTGGGGAGGGAATAGATAGTCCGCTTAAGTAATATGTTTGAGACACGGGAGAGATGGAAGAGTAATTTTATCAGGAAGATCTTTTGTTGTTATACCGTGGCGTATACTGTTTTTTGTTTTTTTACTTGTCCGTTCGAGCAAATTCAAAGGTTTTACATATGCGATGTTCCTTGTCTTGTTCCTCGTGTATCGATTTGCGTGCTCCTTAAATAGACATTTAAGTAGGTAACGCTAATGTTATGCATTACTTTTTCGAGGAATTTACAATATCGTCTTTGATGTTTAGGAAATCTAATTAAAATTGATACCTTCTGAGAAAAAGTATATGCAAAGCACGACAAGAAATGTAAAGGAATACAATTCGTTAACAAAGTAATTATCGTTAGAATTAATATTCTAAAGAATTTTTAAACTACACAAAGAGTCTGCGTGTACATATTAAATTCTTGGCTTTTAAATTCGCAATTATATTCTGTGTAATGTGCGTTATTAAATTAGTTCAGTACTGTAGAAAAATATCGTTTAAATATAGGTATACGTCAAATATAAATATCAAGCGACTCGGCAGCGTCGCGACACCAAGTGCATAAAAATATGCACCGATAAAATAATGCAAAAATACATATGAAACGAGCCACTTGACCACTTGACGCGTGAACGTTCATTGCGTGTATGTTCATGCCGCTGCCAAATTTGCGACACTACCACTAGGTTTATCCAGAGTTTTGACATCAACAAACTTTTAATTAAAATTACTCAGGAATTAAAACTGAAATAAAAAATCCAACAACACTTTTATTATATGTATAATGCCAACGCGCGATCTTTCTATTGCAACTAATTTGAATAAAATTGATGCAGTAAATCCCGAGATATCCAGCCGTAAAAAGTATCATTTCAGATTTTCAGATTTTTTCGGACACACGGATAAACCCATACATAAAGCGTTTTGTCAGTTAAGCTGCTTTCGCACAATATGCCCTCATATAATATTATATTAAATTAGCAAATTTGAACGAAAATGAACATTAATGTGCATACATGTGTAATAATTATATGTACACGAGCAGACAACAGAGAGAGGAGGGAGGGGGAGAGGAAGGAGGAAGAGGAGCGAGAGAGGGAGAGAGATGTTATGGGAGAATGAGAGTGTAAGAGAGAGAAAGTGAGAGCAAGGAGAGAACAAGAAAAGACAAGAGAAATGATGGCAAGAGAGGGCAGGAGAAGATGAGAGAGCAAGAGAGAGGAAAAGAGAGAGAGAGCGAGAAGGGTGGAAGGAAGGGAAGCCAATAAGATTTATTTTTCTATTTCTATTATTATTAACTTAGTGTTTAATAAATATAAATTATTATCTCTTATTTTTATTAAGATTCAAATTTTATGTTACGAGTATTACATTTTCAAAAATTTATGAAAATTCTAGTGAAATCCCTGAAAAATTAACGAAATTCCGAAAAAAATTTTTTAAAAGAAAAAACCAATTGCATCATAAAAAAGATATCGAATATTACATTCTTCTTAATCAACTACGGATACGAAATAAATGCAATTAGCTAAGTATTTCATCACCCAAGACACATAGGATAGACTGAAAGTGACTAAAATGATCAATTGGAATGTAGCGAAGAAAAAACTTGGCGTGACAGGGTCACGTTAAAATGTAATATTCTAGAATAGTTTTTCTTTTTTCAAAAAGGTTTTTTTAGGGATCCAATTCTAAGAAGTTAAATTTTATATTATTAACATGTCCTATTAAAAAATATATAGGCGACAAATCGCAGCATTAATAGAAAAAGTGACACAAATAAAAAGTTAACATTCTTGAGATAATGAAAAGAACAATGAGAAGAAATAATTATAAAAAAAATATCCTATTTTATTTATACCTATTTTATTTATAGAAATACGTCTCGTACACAGCACAGATTATTCCAGCAGCATTACAATAACTTTACAAACATTGCAGCAATATTGCTATAAGTTTCTGTGCTATATGATGTCTTGATTCAAATTGTGACATCATTCTTTGCAAGAAATAAAATGTTTAAATCAAGACTGTTTTAACCTTAAATTTACCTAAAATTTAAAAATATAACATTTTTCTTCTTCTTTTTCTTTTTCTTCTTATTCTTAGTTTAGGACACAAGCCCTGTATCATTTTTCTTCTTATATTAATAAATTGTTTTTGAAGTAGGACATCAAAGTGTCACAACTCTTTTATAAGAGATAAAATTTACACTACACTAAAAGTTGCACTGTTGTCTAATTTTGAAAACTTATAGCATAGCATTTTAAAGAACACATTATAATGGAAAGTATGACATAGACAGAAAGTGAAGTTATACGTATTCATTACTCTAATTAAAATGTTGTTTCAATTCAGAACTTCAAACATGCACTACTGAAAAGTTGTTAATCTTAAGATGTGTCACTTTTCTGTTAATGCAATGTAGCAAAATAATAATAAGCAATCAAAGTTTAATTAGTTGTAATCACGATGTCGTAGCATTGTTTTCAACATCTAAATCCATGTGCTAAAATAAAGACAGTCGTCTATAGTTAAAACTATATGTGCTTGGCACCACAGCTAAAGATAATGTGGAAAGTTTGCGAATATCACACGAATTTAAATTCAGAGCTGTATTTAGGGATTTTCAACTACAGGTCAAAGTGCATCATACACAAGATTTCCTTGCTCCCGGATCAGAACGTATATGCGACACGGATACACGACAAGGGATAAGATATAATACTTACCATGTATGTCAAGACAGCCGAGTTCGGATATCATCGGGCTAGTGTTGATCTGGCACATGTAACAATCCCTGTCGGTCTCCTTCAGTTGGCGAATGTGTAGACGCCACGTACCGTCGACGATTTCCTCCGTAGCTTGGCTACTTCCGGTTACTCCCGATGCACCGCCGGATGCACTGGCGGACCCAGAGCTTGCCCCGCTCTCATAGGTGACCGTGATACGTGCATTATGCGTCACGATCCTAGTGTGAATCGAGAGAATAGTCTGGTCTGAGGTGCGCAGCCAGCCAACCTGAAAAGCCCCGCAACGCAATGCAGTGCTAAGTAATTGTCATTTCGTCAAATGACACACCGAATGTGATTGATGATATTCCTTTAAGGAATATTATCACCCTCTATTGGGATGACATTCTCTTTCTCAGCAATCAAAAATATATGGAAAAGAAACTACGAGCAGTAATCGCGCAGAAAACTAGTTACAAAGTAATTATATGAAAGTATAAATTGAATCAAGTATGATAGCGCGATGCGATAAATAAACTTGTGAAGTAAGAAAAGAGAAAAAGGAGTACGTAAAACAAAAATGAAACGATGACAATTAACTTTATCTTGAACATTGAAAATAATGTTTATATACTTATTTGAGGTTTAAAAGATATACGATGGAGGAGAGATTTGTATATGCTGACGGCATAATAAATTTTAATTTAATTAACAATAGCAGAAATAATGGATGGAACGTATTATAATATAGTACGACGTAATGGCGAACACAAGATGATTTAAGGTGGTTCTTTAGTAAAGTACCGGAAAGGAGTGCCTCACCCAGAATTCACCTAAAATTACAAATATCTGCATAATTTGGATAAAATATTTAAACTACGTGTATATTAATGAAATAGTATGAAACATACAATAGTAAATCAAGAGTTGCATCTTCACCAAACGAAAACAAGACGACGTTGTGTTCACTCTTCCGGACTAAATTTGTATGCAAGTTTGTGCGTGTAAATATGTCTTTCCGAAATGGTTATTGACGTATTACTTTCTCGTGATCATTAAAATTGTAATTTCTTGAGCTATTATAATCTCGTTTTTGAGAAAAGTCTGTGGTAAGATTTGTGTGCAATTAGTCAAAGAAGCGTCTCCGAGCTTTATCTGTCACTAAGTTTTTTATACGTGAAAAATTACATTTTCAACATTTTTTCTCTCTTATTTCATCGTTAATCTACCGTAGAATTTTGCACATGTCGTTTCTCTCCTATCTCTCTCTCTCTTTCTCGGTACTTCGATTATATTTTATATAAAAAAATTAGATATTTCTATAACTCGATTTACTGAAGAAACACCTTAAACAATTTAAGGAAGATTCGCAGATTTATGAATGGTTATAGAAATAAATGTATGTATTTATAAGTGCAGACCGGATTTCCGGTATGAATATAAATCGATAATCCAGACAAAAACGAATTGAAATATAAAAGAAAATAATATTGTATGAGCGATTCTTAAAGGCAACTGATATAGAGATTGTATGAGATGGTGTAAAATGATTATACCATACGGCATAACGTAGTAAGTTTGCGAATAGCACGAAATTTGGTGGTAAATACTAGTCTTAACTTAGACTTAGCATGGAGACCATTCGGCTTATCTTAATTCAGTCCCGTCCGCCTGGAATAACCGTTTCCTCTTAAATAGTACATTCTATTATAAAGAATGTTTTACGGGTGAAATTCATCATCTGATGACATTCGCTCTATTAAATATACACAGTAAAAAATACATATTTTGTATTTGTGTTAAAACCCTGTCGTTATTAAAATTTGTTTATTAAATTATTTATTATACTTGAATGTATTTTAATATAACACTCCGCGATTGCGTTATTTCTTGTTAAATTGATGTTCAGCATTTCTTATAGTGTTAAAATAATACAGTTTATGAGTGCAATTAGTTGAACAATTAGTATAAAAATAATGTATTTTGAAACGTAAATTTTAAAATAAGAGTGAATAAAATGTATTAATTTAACACATGCATTTATTATATACGTTAATTTACTTAAACCGTGTTAATTTAATATATCACTCATTTGGTATAATACATATTTCAAAAATTGTTATTCTTTAATTGCTTGGAGAAGAAGCACGGAGTTTAAAGTAAAAAGAAAAGAATAGTATACTTTAAAAGAACATTATACTTTTATCTTCTGCAATTAATCGTTACACCAAAATTGCATTTAAAAAAAAATTAATATTATAAAATTTTTTCATTATGTAAAACATTGAAATTCGTTTCCTAAAACTTCTTTTTTGAATTGTCATGGTTGCAGTAAATGAGCGATAATATAAACGTTAATGTTACTGAAGAAATAAGCTTTCACATACTTTACTTACAAATTGTGTCAGTGTATATATTTTTTATATAGTTTCGAAAAAAATTGGAAAAAAGATTTGTACATAATATATATTTATGTTACTTTTTATCATATTTATTTTATTATATTATATAGGCGTAGACAGAAAACAGGGAGCTTCCACAAATCTCAAAGAAAAGAACATTTAAAAAATATTTAAAAAATAATTAAAACATTTAGAAAAATAATGAAAACTGCTTAAACAGATTATGTTTAATGAATATTCACAATTATTATAAATTAATTTTGAAAACAAAAACGAATTGGAGAGTGTGTTGCAGATAGATTTTCTGAGACTCCAAGGCGGCTAGTGTTAAAGTTTCTGCAGTTCGAAGAATCAATTTATAATTTTAAGAGAAAGATAAAGTAAATTATTAAATTAAATATATTATATATGCGACTTATTTGCTAATGATTAATTAAAAATAATAATATAAAACATAAAACAAGTTCAATAGTCGATACCATTCGACTAAGAGGTTTAAAATTTTCAACTCTAATTTGCCTCCCTTCTCTCTAAACAAAATCCTAGTTACTTTTATACAGCTTATGTTAAATTAACATTAAATTTAATAGATTATTTGGAATATGTAAAATGTGTTAAATTTAATAACATTATTAGTATCTTATTTCCTTTTTATTCTGAAATATATATATATATATTCTTTTAGTATAAATTTATTACTAAATGTAGTCTGATGTTATCTAAGAACGATGTTATCTAAATGACCTCAATGGATTAGCAGATTACGATGGGAGAAAGAGCGATTCTGTAGCCTCACTAAGCAAGAGAAAAACGATTCTTTTGTTGCTTTGTCTTTCTCGTAACAGGCTTCGAGATGTCTTTTGCCAGCGAAGTCAATTTGACTCGATCTAACCACGATTTGTTTTACTCCTCCTGTGCGTGTTGGCTTTATTTTATATTACTTCTGATGGCAAAAAGCGAGACGATATGAAGATTAAGCGCACGTTGGTGGAACAAAAAGGGGAGTTACTTTTATGGCAAATTTTTCACTCGCGGCAATTCAATTTCGTCGCGTAGCACGTCCTCAGCGAATGCTACGTGACCTTACGTTTACGATATCAGGACGGTCGACATTTGTTACGTTACATTCTATCATCGTTGCTTGCTCCGTTTTCGCACATTCTCCCACTCCCGTCGCGACAAATCCAGACAGTTACGTCAAAAGCCGACCCGTTTAGCGGTTTTTTTTTTTTTTTAATTCAAGTTCTCGCGTCGCGTCGCGTCGCTTCGATGGGATCCATCCGTAAACCACGAGACTGGAATTTTCAGTGCAATGCGAGCAGCCACGGAAGAGTCAAATGATCATAAAAACTGCTCTTCAGTATTCTAAACGCGACTGGTCGACGCGTTTGAAATCCCATTATGGAATAAGTACCATTGACGTGCCACCAAATGTGTGCGAATTTAATCTGTATTCCACATTTGTGTGTTTACGTTCACCACTCCCCCGGCATCATTACCTTGTATTTGCGAATGCTTATGTTGCGAACGCTGCAAGAGAAGACGACCTCGCGGCCAATCGCGGCGGTCTGATTCCCAACTGGTGCTACGAAAATCGGGCCCGTGGCGCTGTTTGTCGAATCTGAAACATTTATTTTCACCGATTTATAATCTCCTGTGATTTTAACGAGGGAAAACTAGATTATTTTGCCGTAAGATCTCATTAATTTTGAGTAACGTTTCATTCAAGTGGGATTGCTATTTCCGCAAGTATTTCTATTTCATATATAATTATATATATATATATATACTCACTCACCGGTGGGGGAAGAGATTAATGGAAAAATATTGGAGAGTGGAAATTTTATCGTTACTCTATTCATTACGGGCGACAGTGAAATCTCCTTTGAAAATATTTCGACGGGCCGTGCCACCGAGGGCACGAATAATGTGTAAGTGCATATCCTAAAGTTTCTTAAGCACTATCGCATGGAGGGTAGCTAATTATCGTTGCTTATTCACGCCTGTGTTGTTGGTGGATTACAACATACCCTAAATAGATAATGTCAAGTGGTCCGAAGTTGCGACGGAAACTTGGCGACCGAAGCACGAGAACGAACTTCAGAAGCGGGCTTCGTACGTGAAAATTTTTGTTTTGCGGGTATACAGTGCGCGCGCGGTTCGATATCTCTTTATTTTACAACGCTGACTACGTGATGTGGCACGAACACTCGATAAATCCCAAGCATTCGCGCGTCTTGTATATACACACGCGTGCAAGAGAGAAATAGATATCTATCTTTTAACAAAAGTATTATATTACAATCGTACTATATCATATCTCCTGACGCGCCACGTCACGCCTTAACGCGCGGAATATATAGCGATATATGACTTGGAATTGAAGAAAAAGAAAAGGCTGAAAAAAAGACAAATGCTACACGAATTTAAGCCGTCGCGAACAATCGTTCTTATTGCGCCCGCCCGTTTTATCAATGGACTATTCTGCGCTATTGTGTTTCCTCTTTTTTTTGTTCCGTTCCTCTCTCTCTTTCTCTCTCTCCTTTTTTATCTCCTTCTGTTTCTCCGCATTCGCACCGCGGCTTCCACTCCACTCACCAACAGACACTATATCCGACATAGGCAATATCCAAATTGCCTCCACGGATTTAACGTTTCTGAGGTGGCACCACGGGACAAATCGCCAGGGAAATGAAACGAGCTGCCAGATTAGACAGTAGCTGCAGCATCCCTGTCGTCGTAAAAAGAGTGAAAAGAAAGACGGCTGCACCAGTTATACCGGTGTGGAAACTCACACTCTTTTGTACCGAGTGAACGACCCAAATTCTCGAAAGGACATGGAAGGATAGATGAGCCAAGAGAATGTAGGAAAAGAGGGGAAAAAACTTTGAATTTTTTTGTCGTTCGCGTTATCTTAAAATATCTTTGCGTGTTCTATAACACAGCAACGCGATTCAATTTTGGCTATCGTAGTAGAAAATGGCGTTTTCGCGATAGTATAGCAATATATTTTACACCGGAAATATATTTTTCTATGAACAAAAGTATATTGAATGAGAATTCGAGAAAAATATTATAACGGAACATACAGAGAGCGGCGCAATACGCGTACGTGAACCGAAGAGGAGTAAAGGAGAATATTACAGGAGGAAGGTAAAAACACGTAAAGTAATAAATATCGAGATAAAAGTAAATTAATATGAAAATAATATAAATAAGAATTTAAAAATAATTTATTACCATAGGAATTTTGAGAGAAACAGGACGTTTCGTTTTACTTACCTATTGTTAGTCTTTTTTCAAATCAATAATATTAATAAACATACATATAATAATTATACTGTTAAGGGAATATAAAATATATATATGTATAAAAAGAAGTGAATATATTAAAAACAAACATACGAAAGAGTTACATCAAATTTCGCATATTTTCAATCTTAAAATATAAAGTAAATTAAAATTAGTTAACTTGGTGAACTACTGTTACTCAATATTTAACAAACACAGTCGAGAGACTTTAATGATGGCCTGTAACCGTCGGCAGACTTATGTTTCAGTTTTGTTTCTTCAAGTGGATATACCACCCCCGCGGCGAATTTTAAAATTAAAGAATTACCTTACCCCGTCCGTATTCGAGGCAATCAGCGGCTAGACGTTCTTTGAATTTTTATTACGCCTAAACTTTGTGACTTCGCAATACGCGATTGTGTCGCAGAACATATAGAGCTTCTAGATATAGGGAGTGAACTTTCGATAGCCCCCCCCCCCCCCCCCTTTACGCATTTCGCGAAATTCACCTGCGGAAATGAAACACCGTTTATCATACGTCTATCTCGTTAACAGCGTTAACTTTTGATAGCTCTGCGTCCGCGAGGCGAGAGTACGGTGACTGTCGAATAATAACAGACTCATCCTCGCTACATCACCACTCTTTTCACTAGCGCCGATAAGCGAGAGAGAAAATAATCAATCATCCTCGACATTTTACGATTCTCCGGCGTTCTCCTTTTCCTCCCTCTCTTCACTACTTTTAGTTTCCCTTCTTACATCATTTCTTACCTCGAGTATCTCAAAATGGAGTCAAGGCAGGGAATCAATACGGTCGTCGCGTAACGCAATCATTTTCTCCCCTCAAACGAACGCCAACGGAAAAGTCGGTGAAAATCAAATTCCGAGCACGGCACGTAGTATCTCGATAAATACATATTGATACGAGAAGATTACGAAGGGAATACGAGTCTGAACGAGATTTTTGACACGTTCTCTTTCTATACGCGATAGTTTTTTGTATACAGCGAAAGGAAATCGTCCTTCGGAGATCTCTTGTTTCTTATTACGATCGATTTGTTCGCTTCGCGGTCATATACATATATTCTTTCGGAAATCATGAGCTTATAAATTTGGAATGCATCGTGTTCGATTCGAGGAACACAATGCATATGAAAATACAAATGCTGTCTTATGATGATCGAGAGTGGAAATAGTCCAAAGGAATTAGGAATCCAAAAATATAACAAATCAGCGGAAAAATGAACAGCTGCTAAATTACATGGACCTCTATTTCGTCATTCTAAACAATGTCTCAAAAGTCCCTGCTTAAAATTTTATACAGAATTAAAAATAAACGAAGCAATTTTTCGCAAATATCTCAAAACCTATAGTTTCTACGGCAAAAAGAATTATTATGATATTTGTAGTTTAGAAAATTCTCTACCAAAAAGGTCTTATGAGTTTTTTTCGTAGAAATAACCGTGTTCGTGTACTACAACTTCAAAGTTTGAAGAGTAATGCTCCTGAGTGAGAGATAATGCATTCCTTTCCATATCACCTCAAAGGTAAAATACTAGGCGCATTTGTTTTAAATGTGATCAAAGCTGTATTACACGGAAACGATTGTTCTATGAAAAAACTCAGAACTTTTTTTGTATATAATTTTCTAATCTACAAATATTGTATCATAATAATTATCCAGAAATCTTAAAGAAGTCAATGAAATAATGGCATCACTGTTATATTGATTTTTGAGTAGAAATCATAAATTTTAATAGTTTAATATATTGTTTTTAATTACTGAAATTGATTTATTGTTATATGGAATATATGTTAGACGTAAGGATATAATACATCATTAGACACATATTTTGAAATGTTGTCGGACAATACATGATTTTGCACTCATGGAGTCCTCACGTCTGTGTATCCCAATCGATTTAATGGATATTATTAAACGCATATTTATTTGGAAATTATAAGATCATCGCTTCACACACAACCAATTTTATATATACATATAATAAGACCATCGAAAACATTTTTGTTAACACTAAGGATGATTTTAGATTGAAACTTACGTTCCATTATAATATTGTATGTAATTTTATTTTTTGACGTTTTATGAATTGTTTGTATATACAGGGTGAAGCATTTAAAATAGGTCACTTGAATAACACGCTTCATTTTAACAATAGAAAGAAGTGTTAAACAAAAGTTGCTTGATTTCGAGAAGCGAAAATTATTGATATCATATAATGTAACATCAATAATTTTTTGTAGGTGGAGAGAATAAATAAAGGTCAAATCTGTTTTTTAAATGGAATATGTTTTTTCATTTACATTCTAATAGAGTGTTTTAAGACGAATACAGTGACTTATAATTGTAGGTATTTCAAGATTTTACAAAGTCTGTAGTTATAAAGGAAAATGAATTGTTTCAAGACTCTCTCCGAATATTTCACTAATTTACTTATTAGTGTACATACTATTACAACAAATGTTCAAACTGTTGACCCTGAGCGCCAATGCATTTGTAAAGCGTGTCGATAAAGATAACACTGAGAAATGAATTTTATACGGATCAATCGCAACGCAAGCTCTTCTTATACTCTCGTTCATGTCTTTTCTAGTTATTGACATTTCACTGCACACTTGTTGTTTTAACTTTTTCCACAAATAAAAATTCATAGGTGTTAAATCTAGAGAACGTGCGGACCATCTGTTATTTCCGACCGACCAATCCAACGAACTCAAAATGTTTAGCAATTGAATAATAATCCATGTAGAATAAACAGGATATCCACATCTTGCCACCATATTTATTGTCATATGGTCTGTGGAAGATCTTATAATATTGGCAATATTTCTGTTATTTTCGACTATTTAATATCGACTATTTATCTCATCGATAAAATGGAGACCAATTATTTTATTATTAAAAATTCCAGACGTTTATGGACCAACGTCTCTGCCTCTCCACTTCTCTCAGCGGATTTTCTATTGATCAACAGTGCATTTTGCGAAGATTTACATGTCCATCGTTTATAAATGTAATTTTGTCAATAAATAAGATTTTAGTGAAAAATATATTATCCTCTTGTAGTCTTCGTAGTGCCCGTTCACAGAATTGTACACGATTTTGAAAATTATTACCATTATTGTAATTCTTGATAAAGTGAGACATGGAAGGGATGAAATTTGTTGGAATGGAGTATTCGTAAAATTTCGTTGACTAATATACCACTTTCAAGGTGTCTTATACTGATATATGGATTTAATGTCACAGCGGCTAAAATATTCGTTGAATTTCCATCGTCAGTTGTGATTTCTTGATTCGTTTTCTGT